CAGCAGCACCCGAGTGGCCCCAGTGTGCCAAGGCCGTGCCAGCCAAGCCTGGCCGTGCCTGTCCGCGCCCAGCAGCGCCTAGTGCCGAGGCCGGTCGCACCCAGCTCGTGCCCAGCGCCGTGCCAGGGCCCCAGCAGGCTCGGCACAGGACCGAACCCGGCCAGTGCGAGTAGCCCGTGACCACCCAGTCCAGAGTGAACCGGTGGTCCGACCCGGTCCGGTTCAGCCCGACCCAGTTCATCCAGTTAGCGAATCGACCGGTTTAGCCGACGGTTCGAGTCCGTTTTGGTTCGTGATTTTCGGTCCAAGTCTTATTCTAAAATCTAAGTGATTTTCCGAGCCAAACCAGATCAGTTGATCGCATCAGTCTATTTTCCGGACTTAGAATTATTTTAGCGAACCCCTAGAGCGTTCCTTTTCATCCGGTTGAGTTATCTGATAGAGTAGAGCATCTTAGCATATTATTGAGCATATGACGAGCATAGTACTTAGTATATTTATTTGCTTATATTTTTATGTAGCTTGAGGAGTCAGCTACCAGCACAGCCGCACTTACCCATTTTCAAAGCAGATCAGGTGGGGACCCAGTCTGGGTTATACATTGAGTATAATAGTCGATATCATGTTCAGGTATGTATATGAGTTTTATCCTCTTGGGGTTAAGGCTGAGTTGTCCTTTCCTAAGTTCTGGTGGTGGCCCAGTTCGCCTTAAATATACCATCAGAGTGTGCACACGGTACCGGCCAGAGTGTCCGGGAGTTACCGGCCAGAGTGTCCGGGAGATTATAGATACCGGCCAGAGTGTCCGGGAGTTTCAGTTACTTATATATACTGGATCTGTGATATCATTATTATTATTGTTGTTTACTTTAGAATGAGTTTTTATGGAGTACAAGTGGACCGTACTCACCCCCACTTTATATTTTCAGATGGCAGGGTCGGCGGGCAGGCGTGAGTCCAGCTGTGGTGGTTGTGGTCGCGGAGTTGGCACAGCTAGCCGATTCGGGACATTTGTTTACCATGTTTTGTAAACTATTATAACCACGTATTTTAGACTTCCGCTATGTTTATTTTCGATCATGCATGACAGTATTTTTAGACTTTAAAGTTTTACTTAGTTCGCCAGTACGAACGGGTCCAGATGAATATGCATGATTCGTTAAAATATAAATCTGATTTCTTTAAGTCTAAACCAGTCGTTAGACCTAAGTTAAAGAAACGGGTTTTTAAGCAGAAAAGTCCTTAGCAGCATCCCGAGATAGTTTGCAAATGATTTCGAAAAATTTATAAGTGTTTTCGAAAGAGTTAAAGTTTGCGAAATATTGACCCTAAGTAGCGGGGTGTTGCAGCCGTAGCTATAGAACGTACCCGTTCGGTAATCTTCTTTGAGAATTTACTCCTACTGGTTTGGGCACCGATAGAAGCCCGAGGGGCATTCGGTATTTTACCTCGCAGTAGTCTATGCGTAGGTGTGCACATGAGTCTTGATTTTATGACGATCTTATGGCGATATTATGATGGCAGGAGATTGGGTTATTAAATTGATTCTTATTCATGCTGAGATCATACTGTTGATTAATTTGATTAATGTTGAGCACTACTTTTTCCAACTGTGCTCATCCCCACCTGAAATTAACGTTTCAGGTTAAGCAAGGCAGGCACGATGACGGAGTAGAGCGAGTGGTGGTCGGCTATAAGACCGGTCTTAATATTTGGTATGCTTCCGCATTCATGAACTGGATTTTATGATTATGAACTTGGAATATTTTTTCATTTATGATTTTTCGGATTTTATGACTTGAATAATGTTAAGGAGATGCTCCTTAGATTTTATGAATATTGTTGGAACCCGGTTTGAGTGATTTATGAAGTTCAGGAAAACCTGTTTTTGGGAGTTAGTAATATTGTTGATGATTGATGATTGACTTTGAAATAAATGAGTAATGCCTTAAATGTATTTGAATTAAATTTTGAAAAGTTTATTCTGATTTTTTTGAAAGTCCAGAGTTTCTTTAAAATCAAAGTGGAGCGTTACAATTCCTGCTCGAAATCACCGGTGCTCTATCATTTTCGTTCCGTCCGATCACTATGGAACTACATCTCATCAATTTCGGTACGTATTTTTTGGTTTTTATCAATTTCTTCTTTGATTTAATTTCCTTGTTTATGAGCCTTTAATATTCTTGGAGCAAGATTTGATTGTGTTATGTGAATGCATCTTATTTTGGTAGTTTTCATGGAATTAAAGATGGTAATTGGTGCACTCTATGTGTTTGATTGTAGGATGAGATGTGTTTGATGAAATGTTGGTGCACTCTATGTATTTGATGAAATGTTAGATATGCTACTTGTTGTGTACATGGAAGCAATGAAGCTATCTTCATTATATATTACACTAGAACGAATACACACTCGTTATTATGAGATAACGATAGTTATTTCTTTTTAGAAATTGATAGAATCTATTAAAAATGACTTGAATTATGACTATAACGAGTAAAATATCGTTATAATGTATGAAATAGCAAAGGTATAGGTGTATTAATCGAGCGGGATGGAAATATAACCATAACGAATATACATTCATTATGTTGAAAATCATAACGAATTAACTATCGTTATGCCTATTTTGATTGAATGGCGGGTTAACGATTCTATCTTCGTTATATATGACATTAGGATGATAATTTGAACTCGTTATAGTATGGAAATACTCATAACGAAACTCATTTTGTGAAATAACGATACTTGTTTTCTTATTGAAAATGGATAGATAAAAATGACTAATGACGGTGAAGATCATTTACTTGAATGACTAAAGTAGAATCGTTATAATTGTATTCGATCAAAAAATAACCATAGCGAAAATAACAATCGTTAAAGTCGTTCATTAGTTATGTTGAAAATCATAACGAATGTGTGTGTGATTGATGTAACGAATGTTGTACTTCTTAAAATCCTTATCATAATGTATCCTTTATAAAAAAGCTCGATATAGAATAAATAATCATTTTATTAGTATCTTTTAGAAATGAGTTAACTTATAACTTTAACGAGCAAAATATCGTCATAATGTATTATATTGTGAATGTATAGGTGTATTTAATTGACCGAGATAAAAATATACCTAAAATGAAGATTCATTTGTTATGGTGTATGAAATAACGAATGTACATTCTTATGTATTAAATTAAAACCAATAGCGAGAGTACTTTACAAAAATTGTTATAGTAATTTTGGAAACGACATTATATACCTAATTTAAGCTCCTTGTTTGATCTATTTAAGTTCAATGTTAGTACTTATTGCTTGTTTGATCTATTATAACTTATGTTGTCTTTCTTTTTTGTTTGTAGGAACCAAAAAGGAATATGTGTTTGATATACCTTCCAATATGCTGAATGCTAACTACAATGCTGAAAAGTTTGATTGGAAACGGTTGACATCTCCTGGCCAAAGCAATGGGTACATATAATATATATTTTGATCATATTAGGTTTTCAAGTGTATTATAAAACTTGGTAAAGTAATAGAATTTGTACATTTATGTTGCAGGTTTGATTGTGGTATGTTTACAATCAAGTTTATAGAATTTTTCCATGCTGGAAAGAATGTTGAAGGCGTAGATCAATCTCGGATTAGTGATTGGCGTGTAAAACTAACGACTGAAATATTTGGTGTTCATTTTGATCCATAGTTTGTTTTAAACATTCAATATGTAACGAGTTGTAGGAATCTTTTGGATAATACATTTTTGTATTATTTTTCATGTGTTTTTCAATCCAATGATGTGGGTGGTCGATTTTTGAAGTTGTATTTTTTACGGACTTCCCAATACAGTGGTTATAATAGTATTTTATCAAAATGGTTAAAGATATTACTGTAACGAGAAGTTTTAATGTAATAAATAACGAAGGGGATCGATGTTGAGCTCCCAAAAATAAGTCAAAGAACCGATTACAAGTCGTTTAAAAATTAACGAATGTACAGTCGTTACTTTTTGTGAAATAACGAATGTACATTTGTTATTGTGAAAAAAAAAAAAAAAACCTTGCTTGTCGCTGGCACGACGTCCGTCGCGGCCGCGACGTCCTGGAAACCTTCTATGTCCGACCAAGAACAGGGCCCAGTGTCGCGCCCGCGACATATGTCGCGACCATTACATATAGTCTTTTCAATATAACGATTGTACAATCGTTATTTTGTATGGTATAACGAATGTACATTCGTTATTAAGAAAAAAAAATTAAAACTTGCTTGTCGCGACCGCGACGCCCGTCACGCCCGCGACGTCCTGGCAACCTACTCTGTCCGACCAACAGGGCCAGTGTCACGGCAGTGATGGATGACGCGCCCGCGATGGTTATTTTGATCCCGGTCGATTATAAAGAAATCAATCTAGTTATATTACATTTTATGAAATAACAATACGTGTTTCTTTTTTTAAAATGGATAGGTAATGAAGAATCGTTAAACTAGTATTTTAACAATAGTCATGTCGTTTTGGTCGAATTTTAAAGAGCCCGGAGGTGGTGTTGTCGCCGGAGATTGAAGATGAAAGGAACAATTTTCGAGCGGAGCGATTTTTCTTGCCGGAGTTGGTTTTGAAATGAAATGAGGGGAGAGACAACTGTGATTTATATATAGGCCGCGCGACACCAAATACGGTGCCTCGGGACCGCGCGACGCCTCATCACGGCCGTGACACCTAGGCTGTCGCGGGCTTGTTATCTTATTTTATTTTTTTACTTTTGTTTAACATTATAAAATGTTACTCGCTTTAATTCCGTGATCTCAACATCGAACTCCTTCGTTTACAAGATCTAACATTTTTTT